CCAAGAACAAATAAATAATCTAAGCCGGTCCCCCTATTAATCATGTGTTTACAAACTGCCACAAATCTATTTCATTACCCCCTGCCCATCGTTGCCCGATCGCCCCGAAAAGATAGGTTTCTCGTGTCGAACATTGGATTTTTGCTCACGATTTGGCGACACTGCTCGAACTTACAAGGGTGACCCCTCACCCCTGCAATAATCAAGTTCAAATTATGACCTTATTATTGAGTGTACTCAATTCTTTCCCAGGGTCCCTCTTCTCCGAGGAGTTAAGTATTGTCCTCCCTGGACGCCCACTCTGTCGTGTTAAGGAAAAACGACGTATGAACATTCAGGGGTTGCCAAATTTCCTCCGATAAAACACGAATTTCTTACTAAAATTATGAATATTTTCCTTCTAATTTTTTAGATAATTTTTTTCGCAATTTCACCGGAGGTTCCTGAAAATATCAAGGAAAAATATTCACATCTTTCTTTAAAAATAAACATTTTAGCGAAGGAAATCTGGCAACTCCCGAATGATGATACGGCGTTCTTCCAAAGTACGGTAGTACTGCTGGAGCATCCTTATCATTGATGGACTCGCGCTTAGTTGAAGGGTTCATTTTTTAAGGGTTGAATTCGGGACGGCATTTAGTTGAGAGGATTCTGTCTGATTAGATTTTTGCGATCGTCGAACGTACAAGTCCCTGGTAAATCAGATGGAATCCATAGGGGCAAGTGAATGGGATGAATGAATGCAGAAATGGGGCCGTGTCAGTAAATGCTTCTTGATAAAGACTTCTTGATAAAGAAAATTGTTTCATAGACATTTCTCAGTTCAAACCCGGTTGGCGGTACAAATACAGTGAAATGAAAATAAATATATACAAAAATATTACTGAGCTTTTTCAGTTTCCTCTGATAGCCATGATCAAAAGCTGGTTATCGAAAAATCCTGAAACCAGATTCGTTCAAAAATCTCTCATACTTTCCCATTTTAAATAGCTCTTCCGATATTTCAATAATTTGTGATCAAATTCTACTTCCAAAAAATTAGTTTAGGTCCTTAAACATTCTCTCATATTTTCTCTTTCATATTTTCCAAGCAGCTATAGCACCATCTTAATATTTTGAAAAAATGACGACTACAGATCTGGAAATATTCCCTGAATCTGGACAGAATTCGACTTGTTTCCCTTCAAATAGTATAATTCCATTAAAAAATTATTGTTTTAAATTGGTTTTATTTCCTCCTCAAAATCATTCTATGCGTCGATTTTTTTTCATTTCGATTATGTTCAGTAATTCTCCGAAAAAAACGTCCTCCAAAACCAACGATTTTAGATAATTTCTTCCAGTAAAAAAGATGAATTACATGAGTATTTATTCCTTGGCTAGTTTAAAAAAAAAGTTGAACCTACTCAAAATTTAAGCTTTCCGCCTCAGGCGTTGTGCGTCATGCGCTACTCCTATGTTTTTATATGATAGAGTATGCTTTGAACTACCACCGAAAGTTGCCAAATGTCCTTTCCATTCATAGAAAAGCGGATTTCGATTTTTTTTTTTTATTTATTTTTTTATTTCATTGACAGGACTGGTTGGACTACGTATAGTTTTTGTATTCCCTTCCACAGACCTATCTTCGGTACTTTTATCTACACCCACTACTCTCATTTTATCATCCTCTCGTTCGGCGCGGCGTTTAATCAATGTGCATGAGGTATCATCCGCATAATTGAAATCCAATGCACGCCTACACTCTGCATTCGCGTTTCAAATTTTAAGTTCTCATTTTCATAAAATAGTTTGTCATTCGTTAAAAGCTTTTTTCTTTTGTTTCCCGGGTAACTTTTTCCCCGGCTGGTCGATGCTCGCGCTATATATCGACAAAGGGACGGAGGGGTTGAAGTTTATTATTTATATATAGGGCCACCATCCCTCCCGGGCACTTTGCTCGTCTCGATTGATCGATATATCGATTGATCTGCAATTTAAACCCATGGAAAAGTATCGATACCTTAATAATCGATTCTTTACCATACTTCAAATGTGATACCATCGATGGTCGATCATCACGCCTCGCCACCGGTCTCTTCATCCTTTTTTACGTTTATTTTATCGTTGTTATGAGGTCATTCGAAAGTGATCCTCATCTGATTTTCGGGCCGGCACTCAGCTTTCCGAAAGGGCGGCCCGTCACAATGACTCCGTTTTTTCATGAATTAATGAACGCTCGGCCGGCGGGAGTGATGGCCGCTTTTTTGTTTCGCTCCATTTGTCGGTTTTTTCTTTGTTTCTGTGTGTTTTTTTTCCCCTCCGCCCAGTTTTTCCCGGTGTCATGTTTTATTCCGTTTCGATCACGTTTTAACAGTAATTAGCTTCGATCAGTTCGTTATGGAGCTTTTTGTTTCACCCCCTCATCGGTGATTCGTTACATAGTATGTTCCATTTCAGCTTTTCCTCCCAAAAAACCCATTTCTGTTTCCCCTTCTGCATTTTCTCGCGTTTTTTTCAAGTGTGTGTAGGGGGGAGGGGGGTGAACTTTTAATGTCACATTAACATTACATTTCTCTAGCGAATTTTAAACTGAGAAAAAAAATGGCAGAAATTCGTCGTTTACCGAGAGAAAGAACGCAACTACCTTTCAATGTTGCCAAATTTCGCCTCACAAATTGCATTTTTACCAGGAGAATCTTTGGAATTTCTAACTAACAATTTCACCGATATTTCTTCTGATCTGATGGAAAAATTAGGGAAAATTTAGACGAAAATTGCACAAATACATTATTGTGAGGAATTAAATTTTTTGAGTCTATTTTGCAACCTTGAAATAAAGTTACGAGAGACAAGGTAGTAACTACCTTTCAATGTTGCCAAATTTCGCCTCACAAAATGCATTTTTGGCAGGAGAATCTTTGGAATTTCCAACTAACAATTACACTGATATTTCCTCTGATCTAATGGGAAAATTAAGCAAAATTTGAACCAAAATTGCACAAATGCATTCTTGTGAAGAATTGAATTTTCTGAGTTACGTTTCTTCGTCCGAACGACAACAAACTGATCGAATGTGGCAATTGTGAATTGAATTTTGTTATTAATAAGTAGTAGAATCATATCAAAAATACTCCCACACACTCGTTAATCACATGAAACGGTACAAGTTTGTGAATCCTGAAATAGTGACCAACTTTTAGCCTTTTTTTATGGTACACTGGAAAAAACACATTGGATCTAGAGTCCAAGCTCTTGAAAACATTGACAAAAAAAATACTCTTGATTCAAACAGATTTTTGCTTAAATCAAAAGGAAATCCGCTTTAATTAAGAGGCTCAGTTCTTTACTTAAGCAAACATCCGATTTAATCAAGAGTATTTTTTCTTGTCGATGTTTTTAAGAGTCCGGACTCTAGATCCAATGTGTTTTTCTCCAGTGTAAAAAATGTTGAAATTTAATATTTCACAAACTCAAAATTCGACTTTTTTCAACGACAAAGAACGTATCATAGAATTTTCCTACACCCTCATTAATTGCCAATTTAACCATATCACAAAGCCGAAGTCTTGGATAATGAAAGTCGAGGAAAAAAGAAAGAGCAGAGGAAGAAAAGACAGTAATCAATTGACCAAGTTACGCCCTCGCAAGTTGTCTTAGCTCCGCTATCTCCTATTATCAATCGCCAACTTGGTTCACGCGGTCTCCGCGTGGCTAATTTACTGATTCGAATATTTTTATAATTGTTAATCAGCTGATTTGCTGGCAAAAAGCAAGAACAATGCCGCTTCGACACTTTCCTTTCTTCCAGTAAAAATTTTTGACTCGTGGACTGAATCTGCATGGAGAAAAATTTACAACTGTCCAAATAGGATTTAAGCTGTCGTGACAAGCATTCGGTTGCGAAGTATGAGCTGAATTTTGGCTGTTTCACAAAGAAATCTGATGAGAGAAATATTAACAACACTGGAAAAAGAAACACATTGGATCTAGAGCCCAGACTATTGAAAACATTGAAAAAATACTCTTGATTCAATCGGATTTTTGCTTGAATCAAAACGAAATCCGCTTAAATTAAGAGGTTTGGTTCTTGATTTAAGCTAGATTCTGATTGAATCAAGAGTACTTTTTTTGCGATTGAATCAAGAGTACTTTTTTTGCCGATATTTTTAAGAGTCTGGAATCTAGATCCAATGTGTTTTCTTTTCCCAGTGAAGAAGTTCTGACAGAGGTTAAATGATTTCTTTCTCCATGCTCGGAGAAAAATATGAGCACATCACTGTCACAAAGAAAATTTTTTCATCGCAAAAAGGTATAGTGGCATTTTTTATTTGATATTTTTTTGTCGTGACAAAGAAAAGAAAATTTCACTTCATCTGATCTTGTGAAAAAGTCGAATTAATTCTAGGCAAAAATTGCACAGGTATATTCTTATAAAAAACTCTAATTGGTTGATTAAATTTTGCAACCTTGGAATGGAGTTACGCTCTTCCGTCCGAGAAACGCCAATATGGATCAATTTCTTTTCCTCTTCGTGCCTTTTTTCCGGAAGGGATCAGTTGCGCCTGTCACAGAATCGTGCTTTGATGCTGGATTCTTGTATATCAGTTACATTTAATTAGACCTATCTGAACAGCAACTTTCTAAGTTCTATAGTAACCGAGATATCGAGCTTTGGAAAGTTCGGTTTATAACGCCATCCACCGCGGTGGTGACACCCTTGGTTCCGTCTACCTTGCTTTCACCAGTCGGTGTGACGCATATTTGCACTGGTTACTCAGCGCCAATTTCGGATGAATGATATTAGCGCCTGCAAGACTCTGGAAATACTTCACACATTGCGCCAAACAGTACGGTCGGCGTGAACCGCATATCAGCGCCTTCACGGACGGATCATATTATTTTGAGCAACTCTACAAGAATCAAGCATCATTACAGGATTCTGTGACCAGCGCAACTGATCAATTCCTTTTATATAGATCCTGCAATTCATATTAAAAATGAGTGAAACTGTGACTCACCTATGCCTGTCAGCGGCGGGCGACCGCGGTGAAGCCGTCTTCTCCTCGCGCGCGGAACTAAAACTATTGTTCTTGGAGGAGAGCTTCCTCAGGACGTCGTTCATAGTCCGCTTGCTCGTCCCGGAATTCCCGCCGAAGCAGTTGCGAACACTAGAACCATTATTACTACCCACACTATTACAAACACTACTATCACTCAAATGATTCTTCCCGTTGCTACTAAAACTATTCTCCGACTTGGAGTTGTGGTTCACCGTCGTGCTGTTGTTGTTCAGGTGCATCGGCTTGGCGTCGTACTCGCACTCCTTCCGCTTGTCCAGGAAGTACGACTTGCCGAGCGAGTGATCGAACTTCTCGAAGAGCTGCGAGTCGGCCATCCGACTGAAGTAGGCCGACTTGAGGAGGGTCTCGTTGTAGCACGAGTTAAGGAGCGGCGACGGGAAGTTGATGGGACAGTGCTGCTGGTAGTTGAGCAGCTTGGGGTCGAAGTTGAGGTTCATCCCCAGCTCGGGGGCGTGCTGGTTGAAGAGGAGGGAGCGGGCCCGCGCGTGCTTCCGCCGCTTGGATTTGGGGGGTTCGGCCTCCTGGGGGCCGGGGGGCTCACCCTCGGAGGAGGAACTCCCCGTGGACTGGTGCTCCACCTTGTAGAACATGTCCTCCTTGGCTTCGGAGTCGGAGTTGCTGGGGCTCAGGTTGAGCTGTTTCTCGACATTGTTGGCCAGGTGGTTGTAGGGGGTGGGTGTTGGGGTTCGTGGAGGTGGTGGCGGGGGTTGGTGGGGGTGCTGGTCCTCGTCCTCTTCCTTCTGCTCCTCGGCGGAGTTGGCCAGGGACTCGATGTGGTCGCTGCTAGTCTCGTCGGCCGCCCCTTCCTCCTGCCCTCCGGATTCTTGTATCTTCGATGGAGGCGATTTCCGCTTCGATGACATATTCCTGCAACAAAAAATAAGCCAGCTCTTTAGTTCAACGTTCTGAAATAATTAGTATTTACTTTTAAGAGCGACTCTTCCACACGGAGAAAAAAACCTTGTGCGTGGGACCCGAAGTTTAGGTGATATAGATCTCTAAAGTTTTCAGATTGAGCATCTGCACACTTTAGGTCTAGCTGCCGAGGTTCGGGTCACACATCTGAAACTTCAGTTCTTACATCTGAAGTACTTCAGATGTGAGAACCGAAGTTTTTCGGATGTGAAAACCGAAGTACTTCAGATGTAAGAACTGAAGTTTTAGATGTGTGATCCAAACCTCAGCAGCTAGACCTAAAGTGTTCGGATGCTCAATCCGAAAACTTCAGAGACCCATATGACTTAAACTTCGGGCCCTACGTACGAAGTTTTTTCTCCGTGTGCAATGGAAACGCTGGATGTAAAGAGAGCATTTCTTGGTTGTAGCAGTGTCTCAAAATCGAAAAATTGAAAAGCCCTTAAGGTGATTCGATGGACGCCATATTTTGTGTCAGAACGGCATGCGGTATATCGCATCAATTGGTTCCATTTTTTCAGCTACTCGTCATTTTTCTCGAATTTTGAGATCGCAATTCTGCTTTCAGGAGACTAAAGCACCCACTCACCAATTTTAACAAAGAAATTCAACGTAATTAAGGCGTGTTTTTTTTAGAGAGAAAACATCGCATTCGATGCTGATATCGGAACTGCACTCGAATGCGATATTACGAATGCGTTGAATTTGTTTGTAAAAATTGGTAAGTGAGTGCTTTAGTCTCCTGACAACAGAATTGCGATCTCAAAATTCGAGAACAATGATTAGTAGCTGAAAAAATTAGAGCCAATCGATGCGATACATCGCACGTCGTTCTGACACGTATGGCGTCCATCGAATCACCAGATACATTTTAAGAAGTAAAACCTTAAATAGTGATTTTCATTAGCGCAAAGGAATTGTCAGTCCACTTTTCTATCGACATTTCGGATAAAGTCCTTTTTTCCATCGATTATTCCTTTTTGTTCTCATTTAATTTGTTTTCAATACCAAGACTACCTTCATTTTTTCCCGAGCCTGTCTCATTTCATTCCAGTTTTTTTTTTTTTTTTAATCATCTTCGAAGAGTTGTTTTCGATCAGACAGTCTGCGTTATCAATTAATGCGAAGTTATCTCCCCTCGCACTAATCACCCGCACATATAAAATAATTGCGAGAGGTATTGGAGAAAGAAATACATACAAAGCATCATCCGTATAAGAACATCATATCAACGATGTATTTTAAATCGAGCTTAAGCTCTTTTTACACGTAACGCCTCCATTGTATACATAAAAAATTAAAAATTATTCCACTCCATCCACCTACTATTGGTGGCTCTTTCGAGACGAAGTCTCTTGTTCGACTGTTATCTCCTCCTTCACTTAGCATTTGTTTACGCCGAAGCTTACTTTTGGGGGCTTGAATTACTGAGATTGGCTTGGTTCTTTCTTTTCCTTTCGTCTTTCTTTTGTATTGGATCGAGTTATATAATTCGCAATTAAGGAGGTATCGAGTTTTCCTCTTTTTGCGCTCGGTGTCAAAAGGTCGCGTCAAATCACTCGGCGAGACATTAATGGCTCATAATCTCTGTGCAAAACGTTTTGGCCGTAATACTTGTTGCACACATTTCAAAATTGCATCAGATCCGGTGCTTTGTTCGGTTTCGACTCCATGTGTCGATGATCGAAATACGATAGAAACGTAGAAAATCAGAAAATTCTGAACGAACACCGGGAAAAAGTTGCATGGGTCTAGAATCCAGACTCTAAATAACATTGGCAAGGAAAAATAATCATGATTCAATCTTATTTTTCCTCGAATCGAAGAGCCGAGCTTCTTGATGTAGGCGGATTTCCGTTTGATTCAAGCAAAAAGTTCAACCAAATCAAGAGTATTTTTACTTGTCAATGTTTCTAAGAGTCCTGACTATCCAAGCAACTTCTTTTCCAGTGGAGTTCATTAAACAAATTAGAAAATGGCATATAGCATTGGTTCTACTTCCATTGATCCGCAAATCAATTCATTTCCAATATCACGCCACGCCACTCAGCGGATCAAATCAATTGGAATTGTAGACTAAAACTAAAAATGTCGATGTGTAATTCGTCACATTTTAAATTACAAGGGGTGCTTCGAGATGAAAATTTCACAAGGGATTAATGGGACCACTTTTAAAATCTTAAAGTTTTAAAGATATGGAGTTATCAGCCTTTAAAGTTTTCAAATTTTGTGCATTATTATTTTCCATCCCCTGAGAATTAACCCTCTCTCATCGCCATCATATGTTATTTGTCATATTTATTTATATTTATTTGTATTTATTTATATTTATTTATTTATTTATTTATTTATTTATCCATTTATTTATTATCATATTTGTTATATTTATTTACTAATTTAGAGGCTAGACAAACAGGGTCAAGGCTCTAGTCAGAAGGTAGAAGAAGAAGAAGCAGAAGAAGAAGAAGAAGAAGACATTTTGTCCGAACTCTCCGATTGACTCGATTCACTGTGCGGCACTGAATAAGTACATCGCAAGGCGGAGCACTGCACTAGTTCATCGAGGAAATTGGAGGGAGCTTTCCAAGCAAGACCGAAACCATTTTGGCTTCTCAGGCGCGTCCGACGAAGGAATGGACGTGTGTGGGTGGGAGTGAGGGGGGGTGGTAAGCTGCGGTGGGCGCGGAGAAAATTGAAAATAAGTTATAATTTCCTTTTGAGACGGCCTCCTATTCGAGGGCGGTGTGTTGAGGAAGTGTCCTGAAGGCGGCTAGAGACGCGGACCTTCAGTAAGGGTAGTTTTGTTGCCAAATGATCATGAAATGATGTAATTTTGCACCTGATCAAAAACGGTCGTTGGAAAATGTTTGCATGACGATTGAAATGCTGATTAGAAGATGTCATACACTTGATCAATTACGAGAGATTCTCTCAAAGCCTGGTTGAGGAGTTTTTTGAATAAGAGCAAAAACACTGAAAAAACAACTCCGGCCGGGGAAGCCGTACTTACGGGCTGTATAGACATGCCGTCCGCGTTCCGAGCTCAGAGGCCGAAAGTTCCGGGCGTAGCACCCGGAGCAATCGAAACTACGTCTCCAGTACCCGCGCAACTTTCGGCCTCTGAGCCCGGACCGGACGGTATGTTTATAAAGCTGTAACGTTTTATCTTAGCCATTTTCCAAAAGAGACAAACTTTGTTTTTGCCTCAGCAAGATGTTGTAGTTGACCGTTTCGGCAACATAGCAAAGGGTAAGATCCCATGGACAGCACTGGTCGACTCAGGAGATGGGCGTCATTTCCGATGTGACTTTCAATCAACGGGTCTAAGACACAGTGCGTCGTCATCTAGTCTCTCTCCTCATCACACGAGAGAACGGACGGAGGGGATCTCAGTACCGTTTTCGCGGCCTTCTATTCACCGTTAAGTTCCCCTTGATTCATGGGCAATACGGTCAAAATTTTGACTTAAGCAACCACTATTTCTAATTTATCAAAATAATAATAATAAAAAAAAATAGTAGATTTTGCATTTAAACCAGAAATGGTGGCTCTCGCACATTAAATGGAAGTCCAATTTGTCTGCCTTGCTACAAAATGAACTCCTTAAGAACGATATAAGTAGAACAAAATTTTCGTTCATATGAAACCCAGGTAACTGAACTTTTCGGTCATTCCATGAGGATCTAACTTCAGTTTAGATATTTGAAGTTCTTTTTGTCATATTGGGAGCTATACATTTTCTTCGAGAGGCTGCGGTTCCAAATATTGAGAGCTTCGATTGCCTGAACTGAAAACTTCAGTAATCCATGATGCGAACTAGAGCTTAGTTTTTGGAGCTAAAGTTTTTTTTCCTTCATGTAAACTGTAGTCAATTATAGAAATATAAAATTTCAAGAAAAGCCATGGCCAATTTTCTTTTTCAGATAAAAATTAAAGGCCTTGCTGTCATTAATTCTAATCTAGCAACCGCCTTCGCAAAAAAAGTTCTACAATTTGTTGTTGTTGTTGTTGTTTTTTTTTTTTTTTTGACTTTGGGAGATTGCCATGCTTTTATTTCAAAGATTCCGGTTAAGAAACACCTTTTCCGAGCATTTTTCCACCCGAATCCGGCGCAGAACAAGGCGACAATTCGGCGTGGAAACTATGGTCGGGCCCGGCGAGGCGTGAAATTTGTATCCGCGACGCGAGCTGAGGCGCTAGGGCGAGAACATTGCCAATTTTAAATCGAGGAGACGTTCAACTTTCCGACAGCCGGTTATGAATTATGACGTGTTTACCTGTGACAGGTGATCAGGGAAAACGCCGAACTTTCCCCGTCGCGGACAATCGCGGCGCTGTTGCCGCTCCGACGCCGAAATTTTCGCAATTTCTAAAGGGAAAAAGATCGTTTCGACGATTAAAAGTTATTGGCGAGGACAGACGACTCGATTTATATAGCTCTTAGGGCCCAAAAAGGCGACAACGTGTGAAACGAAAATCACACGAAAAAAGCCGCTGCCAATCCATGCATTTGAAAAATTAATCAATACGGCCGACCAGGGTGGCAAAATTTTATGAAAAATAAAATCTTGAAATTTCGCGTGAAATATTTTATGAAATTTCAGAAATTTACGGGAGATATTGAAAAATACCGGTTCCTTTTCATGTTTGGCAAAATGTAAAAATTGTGACTTTCTTCTAGTTTTGTGTGTTTGAATGCGGTTTGCATACTATTGCCCGTGAAAAATATGAAATATTTCACCGTCTCGTGACATTTCATGAAATATTTCAATGAAATTTCCAATTTTCCATTTATTTCTTACGTTTGATGCCACCCTAAGGCCTTCAGCGCATTGTAAACAAGCGTCTCTAAGGATTAAGCCTCGAAAGCGGAGAACATTTATGCGAAATCAAAGTTTCATACGTGCTTTTATAATTTTTGATCAGTTATGAAACGACGGGTCGTAAGAATT